TTTTACGTTGATTTGTGCGTGTGCATTTCCGTATCCTCCCGTACCTTCCCCTCACATCGCTCGCCTTGTTCTCGCCCCTCAATGCTTGTCCGCCCGCAAAAATATACAGTTTATTGAGGTTATCTGGCACCCCGAACACGACACGACACAACACACAACACACGATGTGCCTGGGCTCGCTTAGGAAACTTGCAAGGGAGGCGCGGGGGCGGTGCCGTTGCGGTTCATGGTGGACAGGGCTCACACCTTCTTCAAACCCTAGTGAAACAGTGGGGCTCAGGCTTAGGCTCACACTCCCCCATGAGCTTGGGCCTGGCTTGGAGCAGGTGGAAGCTGAGGAAGGTTAGACTCATTCCGAGGTTTAGGCTTACTTTAGTCTTGGGCTTGGGCTTAAGGTATAAACAAAGAGCATAGGATTATCCTTGGACTGGCTTAGGAAAGGCCTAGACTTAGGCGCAGTGTTGAGCTGAGGCATAGGCATAGGCTGAAACAGCCGTGGTTGCTGGCTCCCCTTGTGACCAAACGGTTTGACTGGGCTACCATTGTGTTGAAACGGATTTTTAAGTGCTTTTTTAGGTTTTCAGAAATTTTAGAAAAATCAGCTGACTAAACAATTGCAAAAGATCAGCCAGCCCCTCAAGCGCCCCACCCCCAGCACAAGAGTGTGCAGACCGAGGACTGTGCGTACTCGGCAGACATATCATATGACCGCTGCCAGAGACATCTCGTGCTACATAAGATTGTCTTTCCCTCCCTCCAGAGCGCCCAGAAGCCGTCCGTCGACCATGGTGTGGGGCGCAAAGGCCTCAAAACGACAGGGTATATCCAGCATTATCTGAGTGCTGTGGAGACCCCACCCCCAGTGGTGGTGTACCACACCGATTCTTGATTTTCAGCTGAGGTTGAACTGTAGGGGTGTGGTTGGAAATAAGAGCATGGGCTTAGGCTTAGGTTTTGGCTTAGGTCAGGATTTATGCTTAAGTTTGACTAGAGCGTAGGCTTAAACATAGGCTTCAGCGTCCCCTTCGGCGGCTGACAGAGCAGTTTAGGCTTAGGCTTAAAAACTGGATAAACCAAGGCAGGCTTAGGCTTAGGTTTAGACTTAGGATCAGGCTTAGGCATATAAACGGGCTCGCAGTTCCAGGCTAGGTTTGATTCTCAGGTGAAATGAATAAGTGTTTCTCTGCCTTTCATTTTTCATTGATGCAGACCTGTATATTCATCCCTCAAAGAGATTTACGGGTATCGAAAGTTCGAGGCCCGACAAGCTAGCAAGCTTGTCAGCAAGGCCCTAAGGTTCATAGGACATCTACCTAAAAAGGTACGTCACTATCAGATAACATCAGTAAATCCATCCAAAGGTAAGTATCGTTTTTTACCTTTGCCTTTGCGAAGGAAAGCGGCGGTTACGGCGATAAAAATCTGAAAATTTACAGTTTCAACTGTAAATGTGCGGGTAAGTTAGTTATCCACTTATCAGCAGCCAATTAAATACCACCCAGGGCATAGGCTGGCATCAGACAGGATTACGTCCATTTTTCCGAGCCACATCATCTAAACACCCCTTCACCCCTTCTGAAGAATCGATTCATCTTCTACCCGAAGCGTTGCAGACCGAGGACGTGTGTGTACCGACACATAATCGCTTCCTGTCGCCCATTTCCCGTGTCTGCCCTTGTAGCGCCCCGGGGCCCCAGCCCCGAATTTGCCTAAACTTCACTATATCTCGTGTGGGGACTGGGGATAAACCTGAAGTTTTGACGCAAAACTTCGCAAAATTTCGGAACGCTGTTTAACGCTCAATTACCCACAACTGTGGACCAGACGAGTTTGGGCTCCAGCTAGAACCAATTGTTGAAGATAGACCGTCAAAAACAAGCTGTAAAGTACATGCCAAAACAATACAAATAATCAGATCTGAGAGCATTTCCCGTTTTTTACTTATAAGGTATCTCCGATCTCTGGAGGTTACCCCGCTAAAGCGTGCCTTGATTGTGAAATCCACCGTACCCGCCCTTTCCCCAGTCCCCAACCTCCTTACCTCTGCGTGCGGATAGCGAAAAAGGCTTCGAGAGCTCCCAAATCTATGGAAAAAAACTAGCTAAAACCTATAAAACATTTAGGACTTATTCTACAAGCTTGTCATTGGTTTAATAATTTTCAGGCCAGATGAATCGTCCTAGAAAATTTCCTGGGCCGAAATTTGATCATTACAGTTGTTTTTGACTCGCACTTTTCGAAGTTCTTCTCTCGACACTTCTTACAGCCATATTAATTCTTTTATTTGTCACAATTTCAGAATGGACGACTTCTTGCCCCCGTTTTTCGAGCAACGGAAAAGCCGATCACCGCAGCTTCGGCCCGTCCCAGCTGCCGACAAGCGGTGCCGTACCAGTCAGGAATGCGTATTTAGCAATTTGGTCGTGCAAAAAGTGAAGTGCAGAGATATGTGGCCGGCAAAATGTGGGTAATTTTATTTTTAGGTATATAAATTTCTATGTTCTCAGGCCAGTCTACGCGACTGGGGACGATCGAGTGAGGAGGAGGAGAAGCAGCGTCGTCGTGAAGCACGTCGGGCTGAGGCGTGACCGTGAAAGGGAGAGGGAGGGACCGGCATCGGTTCAGTCGCGATCCTGAGCTTATGTATGGTAATTTAGGGACGATAGGATCGGCTTCTTAATCGAGTTGATAGATCGAGGGAAGGGATGGTCGACGGCGAGTAGAAGACAGAGATGTAAAAATCCGCTGATAGGCTCCAAATATACCTATTTTTTAGATCATCGAGCCAGAAATCTTGCGGGAAGAACCAGAAAAGGAAGAGCAAGAAGATCAAGAAGAAATCGAGGAGCGGCGTCAACGGTTAGTGGTGTTCTAAATTCTTTACATCCAATCCAAGCGCTCGCATGCGTACGTCTTGAACTTCAACAGGAGAAGAGTGATGATGAAGAGAGGGATGATGTAGGTTTTTATCGCTATTGTCTGCAACCTTGTATTAGGCCGAGGACGACGAGGGAGGAGTTTGAGCGTAGACGTCGTTTGCTTTGAGAGCGAGCCCGCATGCGTGAGGAAGAAGAAATGAGGATAAAGTAAGGAAGTGAAGGTATGTTTTTCGTAATCCACAAAATTCAGTCATTTTTCAGGAAGAAGTCGTCAGTGAACAAGAAGAAGATGAGGAGACCAGTGAGGAAGAATCCTCGGATGAAGAGGAAGACCGTATCACTCTTATGAAACCGGTAAGTAGAAAAGACCTCTGCTTGACCCTTTGCTCAAGTCTTTGTGCGAAAGAAGGACCGAATCACGCTCACCGATGCTGAAAATGAAAAGCGCAAGCTCGAGCAGCAACAGAAAGAGGAAGAACGCCAAAAGGAGGAACGACGGCTCGGAGTATCCGGGTTTGTTTCTCTCAATAATCTTTGAAAAAAGCCTATATTTTTGCTATTGCGCCTTTTCCAGATAGCCCAACAAATCCGACGTGAAGAAGACGAGAGTGGACAAACGCAAAAAGAAGACAACATCGATTTGCAGTCCGTGCTGACCGATGACGAGAGCGAGGAATTGGGTTTAGGAAAACTTTTCGGCTTGATAGTGATCGTTTTCAGCGTACGAGGCCTGGAAGCTGCGCGAGATGAAGCGGCTGAAGAGGGATCGGTTTGTTCATTATTTTTGGCGGTCATTAGTCCTTTTTGGTGAGGAGCGTGAGATTGCTGCTCGCGAGAAGGCTGAAATCGAGAAGATTCACAGTATGACCGAGGGAGGAGCGGAAAGCCTGGATCCGAGCCAACCCCAAGATCATCACAAATAAGGTGGGCTTTCCAGGACGCTCCTATATAATTTCTTCTTTTTTCAGCAAGACAAGGGGAAATAGGAGTCCCGCAAAAGTACTTCCACAGGGGAGTGTTCGTGTGGACGAGGAAGAGGGACGTCAAGAAACAGTGAGTTTTTTTAGTGTCATTTCAATGTTATCGGTGTCCTCGCTGTCATCTTCTAATCCTGATTTGTTTAGGGACTTTGCCGCGCCGACATTGGAGGATCAATTCGACAAGACGGTACTTCCGAAGGTTATGCAGGTTCGTATCCTCTTCATAATAGAAATAGGACCTTTCGCATTATCGAGGGGAACATAATTTTTAGTGTAATTCTAGAAATGCCTGGTCCTTTACTAGGAAGTAGCTTTAACATTTGTAGTATAAATGAACTATTTTTCTCTCGAACTTCTTCCTTTCAATTATTTGTAATGTTTTACGCTTAGGAATACTAAAAAACGTTTACAGCCACTCCGCCAAAAAAATTGCCCCCTCCGATAATGCGAAAAGAACTTGAAACATCTTTATTTATATTGCCTTTACTTCAAAACCTCCTCTATTTAGTTCAAAACTTTTGGAAAGCCTCCCGCACCAAGTGGACCCATCTTACCGCCGAGGACACAACCGACCATCAGGCGCCTGGAACACATGACCACCCAGACACGGCGTTCTTCAACAAAGCCGGCGACTTTTGTACCAAATCTTCGACCGACCCGGCGCCAGAAGCGCAAGACCGGATAAGTCGCCAGATCTCTTCTCGATCCCCCCTATTCCCTCGGTTCTTTTCCACAATCACTTTCGCTCTCACCCTGTATTCTGTTACTTGTTCGTATTTTCATGTGGCACACGATAAAGCGCAGTAGATTTTATTATTACACTATTCATCTTGGCTTTCGTCGCCGGCAGGGCTGGCAGGTTTTGGGCGGAGGTATTCAAGCCTGAAAAGTTTATTTTTAAACTTTATTTTCATTTAAAATTTAAATTAAATTCAAATTCTTTTCGTTGTGTCTATCAATTATCAGTTAGTACTTACTTGGCAAGTTCTTTCTGCAAATTGTTAATCCGGTCATCTTTCCATTTTATCTCAAAGCGTAGGGACTCGATATCTTTGCTGAAAGTTTTCGTTTAGCTTAATGGTCCGCCACCAACCTGCTGTAGCTGTACAAGACGCTCGAGTTGCGTCACCTTAGCATCACTTATACGTAAAGACTTTTCGAGTAAGCCGACGGAGGCTTCGAGGATTGCGCTCGCCTCCCCGTCGCTGGTTGAGGGTAGTTGGCTTAAAATTGGTTTCTAAAGCTCAAGGGAGAAGAGCAAGATCCTTCTACAGTTTACAATTTATCCAGATTGAATACTCACAGCGAGGCCCCATTCCCATTATCGTCGTCTAGTGTCACGTCCAGGTCGACGCACCGATGCGTATTGCGGCTCGGCGATGTGCAGCTCCTTTTCCTTCTTTTCAAGCCTAAAATAAGTTTAAAATTATCGTTTTCTAAATTTAAACTGACTCTTCCTCTACGGCGATCGTTGGATGGATCGTGTGCTCGGGCGGCTGGCAGCTAGTGCCCACTTCGGAGAGACATGGGCTGGGGCCTCGGCTCAAATCACACCATTTAATAGATTTAACAGATAGATCCACTTACCTTAAAAGCGGCGTTGGCACCAATTGACAAGCGCTAGAAGACACGTGAAGACGTGAGGACTGAAATGTCGTTGTAAATTAATCAATAAGTTATAAAAAAATCGATTTAGGCCCACCTCGACCAAAGATGCGTATTCGCTTCAGCAGCAGCTTCTTCGCGACGGTGTTCCGTGGTGACTGTGCAGCCCATCTCCTCGCGATCGTTCAACGAGCTGTTGCTGAAATGTGGAGGGCGTATGAAATCCGTCCGATGAAACTGAGAAGGTCCATCCAGCTGCTCCACCCCCCATCCAAAGACGCGAAATCAGATATCCCCATTTTGGCGAGTGCCCAGATTCCGCCAATCGATAAGAAGACGTTGTTATTTGTCTATTTTTCAAAATTTGAATTCATTTGCAAGTTTTCCCATTGAAAAAACACCCACCTCACACTTTGAACGATCGTGGGAAAATTTCGAGGCACGATTGCTCTTTGCGAGAATGTTCTTCTAAAGCGATTTCTCAGATCCATCAGAATTGCAAACCGCCTATCGTCGAAATTTGGCTGATCAGCTCCTCGGTCGGCGACTCATCCTCCAGCTGGGCTATCAGAGCCGACTAAGACCTTGGCGTAGGTACGTCTTGTGAAGGCTTACCTGCTGTCGTAACCGCGTACTTATCGCCTCCAACTCTTGATTTACACTCTTTTCTATGTCATCTTGAGACTGTTCATGTACAGAACCGGGCGTTTTCAATCTCGGGCGGATCGGCGAGCTCGAGTCGTTCTCTATAGTAATTTTTATACTTATTACAGTCTTTCGCATCTTCCCTTTTCTATCTGCTTCCAATTGGGTGAAGAACTTACATTTCAACTTTCTGCTCGGGATCTTCTCCCTGTGCCGGTTCTTCCCTGTAGCTCATCCCTTGATGACCCCGGATTTGATCAAGACTAGTCTCGTCCATAATTGAAGGCGCCTCCGTCTCATCTCGACTCAATTCATCACGGGATGAGCAGCTAAAATTTTCTTTCTATTGTCGATCCAGCCACCCACCTGGCCTGGGATTCCCTTTCTTCCTGCGATTTTAAAAATTCTTCATAGTCAAATTTTGGATCCGGTCGATAGTCGGCTTTTGTCACCTGAAGCCAGCTCATCTTGCAATATTTAAACAAACCTCAGCCAAAAATTGAAATTTCCTATCATTGTTTTTCCTCGACGTGATCATAAGTATCAATTCTAAAACGATTCTGTTGGCTAAAACTCAGAATCCGAACCGTTGCTCGGCACCGGGTAGCTATCGGACTTTGGGTGCTCTTCACCGATAATATGACAAATATGACCCGGGCTTTGTAGACTTTTCGATGATTTTTTCTACAATAAATGCATTGCAAACGCGCTAAAAACAGTCACCTGGCATGTTTTTAGCAAATTAAATAAAAAGGAGGCGAGATTCGTTGCAAGGTCCCGTAATTCCGCTTTTGGTGATGCGCTAAATAGTTTTTAGCGGTATAATGAATAAAATGCAATATGTTGAGAAAGTAAAGGGTCGCGAACCCGCCTATAAGAAAAAAGAACATGAAATTAACATTTATTGAATCCGCAAGCCGTAGAGCATGTATGTCCAGGGTAGCACCCGTAAAATCCACATTAAAAATATGACAATCATAAAAACTTTCAAAAATTAAAAGGCAAGTCTCAGCGTTGCAGTTGTTGCTGACTGGGCCAAGCCGAAGAGCTGAGGGCTGATTGTGGCTCTTGTTGGGCGGGCTCAATACAGTGAAGTGGTCGTCTCGTTGGCCTCCTCCCCTTCGATGTCAATCTCTTCCTCCTCGTCCTCCCCATCCTCCTCATCGTCGCTGCTCGGAGGCATCACCTCCTCCACCACCTCGTGCTCCTCGAAAAATTTGCTGACGATCGGATCTTTCTTGTGCTGGAGCAGCTTCCCGATGTAATCACTACGGATGGCGCGGAAGGCGCGTAGGCTGCTGAAGCCACAGTCGGTCACCGGGTCTTTGTACCTGGAATAGATTGATGGATTGGAATTTGAGAAAAATAAAACCCTAGTTCTAGAGAAAATCAATAAGCAACCACTCCGTGCCTCGCCAAATGGCAAGCGGTCCCCCCATTCTACGCATGAATAAACAGCAATGGAAGTTTTTTTCGAGCGGCAATGTCTTTTACGCCAAACCCCAACGCCAAGAATACTTTAAAAAACTCACTTCGCTGGCTTTCCGGAATATGCGCAAACGACTTTGACGACCGGGGCAGCCGGTTCCCACCTGTGCACTTCCGGTACGATGATCCGGTACCCTGGGCATGCCGTTGAAGCCTCGATGTTGAAGCTCACCTTTCTCGTCGCTGATCGTCTTTATATACGGGCCGACAAGCGGATTCCTCAGGATCGCCTCTCGACGCCGCTTCTTCCTTTCCACCTCGAGATCGGCGAACCTAAAGGCGAGGTTTTTCAACAAGTTGTGTTCTTTAATACCTACCAATTCATACGTTGTATGTTCGTCTTTTCAGTCTCCATTGCCTCCGCCATCCGCCTGATCTAAAAGTCCGGATATTAAAAAACTCTCCGTTTCTCCTCACTTGTTCTTTTTCCTCCTCTGGCGTCGGCTCGGGTCGTATGTATGGCTGACTGATTCTCTCGCCAAGCTCCTTAATCTTCGCAAACAATTCTTCAGGGCTGAATTCCTGACCTAAAGATAATCTTCGATCTCATCACCAAAAATTCCCATACCTCCCCCGTCGTCAGCTTCCGCTTCCGTATTCGGATCGGATCCTAAAAAGATTTCGTTTTTGCAAACCATATCAAAAGATTACCCATTCGTCCTCCATTGGCATAACCTCAATTTCTTCCTCTTGCTCTGGGTCGTCAAAATCGGAGTCGACCTCGTCACTCTCGTCGCCGGCAACGGAGGATCGAGGCGAGTTGAAGGTTTCTTCGACGTCATCCTGAACCAGAGTATGTTTGTTTTAAGTTGGAGATACCTCTCGAAAACCGCCATGAAAGCCTCGGTATAGAACGGGTCGTTCTCCTGCTCCTCTTTGCTTTGTGACATCAATATGGCCATTTTGTTGCCGGCAGTTGACCTAAGGCATGATTATTCTCCTTTGAAATCTCGTACCTCTTTGGTCGGCTGTTCACATTATATTCAACTGGAGGAGGTTCTTCGCCGTCGCTTTCTTCCTCTTCGTCATCTTCTCCCCGCTTCCGGCCTTCGATCCTTCGTCTTCCTGGGATTCCTCTTCACCGGATGCCTCCTGAAATGAAACTATGAAAATGGAACTTCCACAGACACCAGAATGTGCCTGTCAAACCCTGGACAAAATCCGTACCTCTTCATCCTCGTCTTCTTCGCTCTCATCTTCCTCCTCATTTTCCTCGTCCATCTCTTCATCTGGCTTGGGTTTCATCGTTCAGCGGTGTATCATCCTCCTCCTCCTGTTCATCTTCCTCTTCGACGTTATGATCGTGTTTGGCGACGGACTTATTGTCAGCCATCCTGCAAGAACCATAATGTTGATGGTGACCAATCAAATGAATCTTTAGGAATGAGATTATTTCAAAAAATCTTCAAAAATAATTAAAAACCATTGAAAAAGCGAAATATGGGTGGCGCAGTTTCCTAATGACAGATGGTCGTAATGTGTAGCAAAGGTACCACATTTTTTTCACCCGAATTTTTCTCTTTTATCTTTTCTCGGCATCGACATTGACAAATTATTTTAATGAATTTAACCCTTTTTCTAAAGCATTTTCAAACAGTGGGACTGGTTTCTCATAGTAATCGGTGCTAAAATTGTAAAATTGACCGAATTGGCGCGAAAACCATTTCAACAATGTTAAAATCTATTGGTGTGCATTCAGGGAATCGACAAAAGTTTATAGAGGATCAGGTGATCTTGTAGACTACCCAACGCTATCAATAGCCCGCGGGCAATCGTGGTCGGATATCGGGGATTCAAACATCTGTTCCCTAAACAGCACCCTGGCCCTCAGCCATCCATCCATCCATTCCATTCTGCCTTTCCCCGCCCGCAACAGCACAGCGTCTGCCCCTTACCCCGCGCACGCTCTTTTCTGTCTGACCGCCCAGACTCTCATTTCTACTTTTCGAAAGCCTTGGCCAATTCTTGCTCACCAAACAACAATAAACCCAATTATTTTGATCTTCAATCAAGATAGTATTAAAACAAACAAGTTCTTCGATTTACTACCCCCGCCAATCCCTAGTTTCTCGGTCCTTTTGAGCCCAATTTCTTTATTATTCTACCGTTCTCTTGGCCAAGAAGTATGTCCGTTGCAAAAACTGGCGCATAGCGTCTTCCTTTTTTCACCGCTTTTCTCTTCCCTTCTTCCGCTTTTCACCGTTAGAATTGTCGCGCTGTCAAAATTTCTTTTTGTAACTTGGGCTCATTTGTTCTTCAATAATCTTCCATTTTCTAGAGCATGGCAGCTCCCGAGGATCAGCAGCTCGAAGAGGAGCTGAATCTAAGCCAAGCCTCCGGCGACATGGATCAGGATTTCGAAGACATTGAGCGCCAGATGGCCGAAATTGAGGAGGAACAGAAGAAGCTCCAGGACCTGCAGGGCGAGGTTTGATTTATCTGCCATTTCTCTTGAATGTCGCTTTTCAGGTGACCGCCGATTTGATGAACATTTCGTCGTCAAGCCAGAATGGTTCCGTTTCCGGCTTCCCGCCGACGCTCACCCCCGAGGAGAAGGCCGAGTTGGACGCCCGCTCGGTTTACGTTGGCAACGTGAGTTTTATTTTGGCTTGGTTGAAATATGGGCTGATTAGCGGTTTTCACGTTTCCACAGCTTTTTAGGTTGACTACGGCTGCACTGCCGAAGAACTGAAGGCGCATTTCCACGGCTGTGGCTCCGTCTCTCGGGTCACCATTCTCTGCGACAAGTTCAGCGGTCACCCGAAGGGTGGGCAGTTTTTTCTGAGGTTTATTGTCTTTTTTACTTTTAGTTTTGCCTATGTCGAGTTCTCCGACCAGGATGGTGTGAAAAATGCCCTTCAAATGGACGAGTCTCTTCTCCGTGGTCGACAGATCAAGGTATAGTAATTTGAAAGAATTACTGGGATTTGTGCATAACTTTTCAGCATTGGACATTCTGTAGTGATAAATAATTATTTTGCTGATTTCAGGTGTGCCAGAAGCGGACAAATAAGCCCGGAATTTCTTCTACCAACCGCCCGCCCCGATCGTAAATTTTCTCTAGCGTCTTGCTTCTTTCATAATTTCCGGTTTTCTTATCCCTTATTTTTCCAGGAGAGGACGTGGTCGTGGTGTGATCGTCAAATACATCTACCCTGGTGGCGGCTATCGAGGACGTGGTCGTGGAATGAGGTCAATTTCCCGTGCCGTTTAGTGTGCAGTGCATGTGTCCAATCGTGTCTTGGGTTTTTGTTTGTACTATATGTATTAACGAGGGTTTTTTAGGCGACGCTCCAACTTCATGAACATTGCATAGATCATCTACCTACGCACAAACGGGATACGTTTAGTCGTCTAATTCACGATTTTTCCTTGTTGCCGCCCTCACCGTTACATTGACCATTTTTTACACCCGTGTTCTCTCTTATAGAAACCCATTGAGCCTGTTGGCATTAACTTATATACGCTGACCATTTCGGGCTGTTCCTCCTCCTGTTCACGACACAAACAAAAATTACTTGCAAATCCGTCATTGTGCTTCCCCATTTTGTCGTTGGGCAGTGAGTGGTCTTGTTACCCTCCTTCTCTTATTAGTCTTTTAATTGTGCTCTTGTCGACAGCAGACAATCACCCACCCACACCCCCGGCTTTTGGTATATTCGCGCGCTCGCCGTTCATCATCTCTGATGACCTTTTGCTGTGGCCGAGCTTTTCAAGTATTATTTTCATTGTTGGCCGGTTATTGTTTATTCGATAAAATATTTTCTTGCTGAAACGAATGTCGGACAAAAATCGGCTTCTCACGCCTCAAAAATGCACACCCGTGGGGATGGAGGGGGAAATTGGCGGCAAGCGATTTGTTGGAACTTTTTCTCGCGGCGTTTGTGAGATGAATGGCGTTTTCGCAAACACGGCGGCTCTGGTGGCAACAGTTGTTCGACTCATTAAAATTTAATGATCTGAGGGATGGTAGGCGGCTGGCTGGCTGGCTTGACCTGGGCCAGCTGGATTTGTCGATGCAGATAATCGCGCTTTTTTATAAGGAACAACTAAAAATATTCATAAAGAACTTTTAACTCCCGGGATAGGGCAGGCTACCCGTGATTTTTTCGGAAAAAGCTCTAGATCTCTAGACGCAGCAATGTCAGGGACAAATCGGGCAGCTTGACGCGTGGCGCGTCACGACAGGAAAATTTAGGATTTTATGTGTTAGAAAAGATTGAAATAAGAGTTTTTGACGCTCCCAAATAGGGCAATATGGCCGAGATTTTTCAGGTTCAGGTTCAAGCTCAAACTCTAGTAACGTGATTTCAACGTTTGGAAAATCCGGGGAAAATGAGAAGATTTGAGCCTCTTTTTATGAATTATAAAATAACGGAGGAATAAATATTGCTAAACAAGTTTTTTTTCACGCTCACAAGCAAGGCAGGCTAGCCTAGATTTTTCCGGAAAAGCTCTAGCTCCAGCAATGTGAATTCAACGTTTGGAAATCCCCTCGAAAATGAGAAGATTGAGCCTCTTTTTATACGATTTATAAAATCAAACAAGAATAAATATTTCAAAATAAGTTTTTGGACGATCCCAAGCAAGACAAGCTAGCCGAGATTTTTCAGGAAAAGCTCGAGCTCAGTAATGCGAGTTCAACGCCCCGGAAAGCTCCCCAAGCGCGGCCCATTTGTCGAATTGCAACAATGCACGGCCATGGCACAGCCCCAGTCAGCGCTATAGCCCGGGTCGAAACGGGCAGGGGGAGCCAATTTGGTGGAGGGGGACTAATGGGGCGGGGCTAGGGGCCCAGGAAGGGCCCTTGGCCCTTGGGGGGCCCAGCTGGCCCCGAACCACCAACGCCCATCGAACACTGGCCCTGCATCGGCTGCCGTGTCCACTCCACGCTGCCATGCCATTGACTATTCCCGCACCACCCATCCACCCTTCTCCTTCTCACTCAAGGCTTCTCCTCCTCCTCCTCCTTCTTCTTGGGGAGCTAGAACTAGCGCCGACGGCCATCCACATCGGATTTCGGCGGCTTCAATTTCGCCCAATCCGCTTTAGAGGCGCCATAAGCACTGCCAGTTGACTTTTGGGACCCGAGCCGAGCTGTTCCCGGATTTTTAAAGTCATGAAAAAAAGATTTATTGAAAGCGGGAGCTACTGAAAACTTGTGGAAATCGAACTTTCCTCTTGTTGTTTGCGATTTGGTCGGCCTTCCTCAAATAAACTCTCCAATCTTTCGCTTCCAGGCTTCCGGGCTCTCTTCTTTTTACTTTTTTGAAAAAGTACAACAAGGAGAGATAGAATAAAGTTTTTTCTACTCTAACTAATTAGCTTCTTCCTTCTCTATTTTGTTAATTTGTTTCCATTTCCTTACCTTCGTCTTCTTTTTCCCTTTCTATACTATGATATTTAATCCTCAACTTTTTAGGCAATGACCGTCGAAGAAGACGAGTACACGCAGCTCAAATCGAATGCCGAGAACCTGGCGACCTGCCTCCACGCCCTCCTCGAACGCATCGAAAAACTCGAAGTGAAGCAGACCACCCCGTTGGCGGTCAGTTTTTTAAACCCATTTTTTTATCAAGATTTAGCGAGAGGCGATCATTTATTTGGTGAGTAAACTCTCGTTAATTTATTAGAACACTATGTTCATGCCTTACCTATCGAAATCTGTATTTTTTTCCTATCGAGATGGCCCATTGCCAAACCTAAATTCAAGTATTTTGTTCTAGGAACTCGCCGAACCCGTTGATCAGCACGTGCGCGACAACGGGGCGGCCAAGAAGAAGCGCGGAAAGAAACGCGGCAAAGAGCACAGCGAGAGCTCGAATGGAGGAGCACGAGGCGTCGGCAGGGTTGGTGATATTTATAAGGACCAAAAATAAAGCGACGATTTAGCACGACAGTGAGGAGCCGGAGAATTCGGAGCAGGTGCTGATGTCGGACACGGTGGCCGTCGATCCGGAGACGGGGCTCAAGAAGCGGACGATCGTCACGGAGCGTGTGCTGACCACAAAGACGTTTCACGCCTTGGCGTTGGGTAGGTATTTAGACGCTAATCTTGAAGGTCCGCTTTAGACAGCGCACCCGCACTCCTTCCGCTTCCCGGCCGGCAGCCGATCGTTTTTGAGAGTCGTGGCGTGGACGTTGAAGCCGCTCAGCTAAAGCAGGTGGGATTTCTGGACAAAATTTGCGAACTAGAAAAGTATATTCTGACGGGGTTCAATTTTTTCGCACCCTGCACTCTTTTA